TTCCTCTCTCTCACCCATCTTCGTTTCCTCCACATCTCACCGCAACATCCCCCAAGGGTTTCAAGGGTTTTTCGCTCTCCTCTCTCAGATTCCTTCAATCTCTCCCCTTCCCTCAGATTTGCTCGCTAAATCTGGCCCCAATGCGTTTGTTGGCGAAGCTCCATCAGGTACTGATCTTCGTCTCTCCGATCTGCTTTGCTTTAAGCATACTCATTTCTTGAGATTTGAGCTCCAGGAGCTTCAGGAGCTCAGGGAAGCTTGGCATTTTCCGTTTATTTATTGTTTTTAACACAAAAAGAATCATTTTTATTTTATTGTTAGTTATTGGCTTTGTTTGTGATTTGGTTTGATTTATTTGGTGGATAAATGGGAGGTGAATCTTGTCTTGGTGATGGGCAAGCGGGGGGGAAGCAAATCTATGCAAAAAAAAAAAAAAAAAACTGATTAAACTTAAAAACTAGAAGAAACTAGAAAGATGGCAACTGGGTCTAGCTTCATATTGTTTGTATTTTGTTAATTTAAATAAAGGAAAATAAAAAAAGTTTTAATTTTAGAATAGTCTGGTTTTTTTTATTTAAAAGGGTACTTGTTGTAAAGATTAATGTGTTATTTTTATGGCAAAGGTGCACCCTTTATACCCCATTTATATTGATTGGAAATCTGTTTTTGCTGATGTTTTTCTCCTTCTGATATGACTTTTATGTGATGTTGAAATGATGCTTTGACTGTATTTTTAGCATTTTCAATGCTAAAAATGTTTGGTCAAGCAGTGTTGTAATGTTGTGCTTGTGACTGAGTGGCTCATCCTTACTTCCATTTGTACAAATAAGTGCAAACAGCAAATTACCTCTGCCTTTGATTGACTAATATTTTTTCATTATTTTTTGATAATTTCAGGGCATGGATTTATTATATTTCGAAGTGAAAAGACATATAGCATGATGTACGCAGTTTAGTTTTATATGGTACAGAACAGTCTAAGTCACAACTTGTGACTTGATAACTCAGAAGCTTTACCTAAACGGCTTCTCAAGGAGCTGATCATTATAAACTTGCTGGACTATAGTCTTCCTCGTTTTGGTACTTCTGGGTTGGGTAGGGGTGACAAAGATCAGAATCTCCACCTGGAAATGGGTTCATTTACGGGTACTTCTGAAATTGTTGAAGCAACAGACGAGCTGACTACAGGTCAATTTTCTCTTGGAATAGGTAGACCAAATTCTGGATTTAGTAGGGGTGACAGAGATCGGAAGCCTCCTGTTCTAAAACTGGGATACAAGGATTCTCTAGAAGATGATATTAATAAGCTCTTCGAGGCAATCAATCTCAAAGCTTCATCCAAGGGTTCAGATAATTCGAAGCAAGCTGGCACTAGCCCTTTATATAAGAATGCCTTGAAGAAGCCAATTACAGTGGGTGTGTCTCGCTCACCAGGGATTGGGAATTCAGAGCCAGCAACTCTGAAGCAGGCGTTAAGGGAACTCTCTATTACCAAGGCATCAGAAATGGCTGCTATGAAGCGGTTATCAAAATTGACAAGTCCTTCAAGAGCCTCTGAAGCTGGGAGGATCAAGACATTGTACAATGCAGTTGTAGTTGAAGCCAGTACATCTGGCCCGTCCTCAAGTGAAAATAGGGGAAATATGGTTGAGATCTCTCTGGTGCCAGAAGAAAGCATTTCAAATACTTGTGAGAATATGCCTGAGGATCCTCAAATGGCCAAGATGAAGTCATCAAGCCAGAGTGCACATTCTTCTCCTCGATTTGCCATCGGGAAAACAGAAAATAATTCTGGGAGCACAACATTGCAAAATGAAAGTACGTCCATGCTAAGGACAGTTGGGGTGCAAACAATACAGGCAGAACTGGGACAGACAGAGAAAATTGAATCTTCAAGTGACCATATTTCAGAACTTGCTGAAAACATTCCTGCGAAAACCATGTTACCGACAAAAATAAAGGCGCAGCTGGGGAAGAAAGAGAAAGTTAAATCTACAAGTGGTAACACTTCAGTAGTTCAAAATGTTCCTGCAAAACCCAAGTTAGCAAGTAAGGTATCAGCTGCAAAACCAGGGCGGAAAGTCAAGTTGCATGCAGTACCTTCTTCATCTAGTTTGGTCAATGGCAATACGACAAGCAAACTATCCAGAAATACTCTCCGCTCCGTAAAAGGCAGGATTCAAGTTCTGTGGCCTGCAATTCTAGTAATTATAATGAAGTTGATGCTGATTTTGATCCTTGCACAAGTCAGCTGGTTTGTGAGAGATGCCAATGTACATTGAAAGGTGCTGGCAAACAATCAAATCAAGGTTCTTTGGTGCCCCAGTTTAACAGTCTTACCGCAGAAGTAAACTCAAGTAATGTGCACACAGGTCCGAGTAAACCAGGCTTCACCTTAGACAGCAGTAAGACTGGCAATACAGGGGGAGCTGACATCATGAAAGCAAAAAAGAACCCAAAATCAAAAGAAAAAGGGGAGTTCTCCCAAAGCTCAAAAAGTAGCCAAGAGTATAGTAGTAGTACAAGTTTGAGTGATGAGAGCAATATGAGTGGGTCTAGTTGTAGCAATAAGCCTCACATGTCAAAGGATGTGAGGTGGGAGGCCATCCGTCACGTTCGGTTGCAGCATGGAGTCCTGGGCTTGAGACACTTCAATCTTTTGAAGAAGCTTGGTTGTGGAGACATAGGAACTGTATATCTTGCTGAACTAATTAGTACGAACTGCCTTTTTGCCATAAAGGTAATGGACAACGAGTTCTTGGCTAGAAGGAAGAAGATGCCAAGGGCTCAGACTGAAAGAGAAATACTGAGGATGCTTGATCATCCTTTTCTCCCTACACTGTATACCCAATTCACATCAGATAATCTGTCATGTTTAGTTATGGAGTATTGTCCAGGTGGAGATCTTCATGTCCTTCGGCAGAAGCAGTCGGGAAGGTGTTTTTCTGAAGCAGCGACAAGGTAGAAAAATTTGAAATAAGATCTATACATATCAGGGCATGCATTTTGTTTTGGATGCTATTGTTACACTATTTTTGAGAAATTGCTACATGACATCCTCATTTTTCCTGGTCATCTCTTATAAATTATTGTGTGAATGGAAGCTCTAAAGAGCTTCCATTGCACTATGTAATTCAATTGGGAAACTGAGCATTAGATTCGCCTCTAATCTACTATCTGTTTCTATATTAAATTAGGGCTGGAATTTTACCTGAGATAACTTAGCTAAATGGATCTTTCTTATAATTGCTCATTCTTATGTTCTGTATGTATTTCTCATATCGCACCATTGCAAACTAATTCAAGACACTTTGTGTTTACAGGTTCTATGTTGCTGAAGTTCTCCTTGCTTTGGAGTACTTGCACATGCTTGGGGTAGTTTATCGGGATTTGAAACCAGAAAACATTCTTGTGCGGGAAGATGGTCACATTATGCTCACAGATTTTGACCTGTCTCTAAGGTGCACTGTCAGTCCAACTCTTTTGAAATCACCTTCATGCGATGCTGATCGTGTAAAACTGTCTGGTCCATGCACACAATCTAGCTGCGCTGAGCCCTTCTGCATGGAACCCTCCTGTGACGTCCCATGCTTCAGCCCTAGGTTTTTACCTACTGCTGCAAAAACAAAGAAGTCCAAAAATGACTCTGCAGCCCAAGTCAGATCATTGCCCCAGCTTGTGGCAGAGCCTACTGATGCACGGTCCAATTCCTTTGTTGGGACCCATGAGTACTTGGCTCCTGAGATCATCAAAGGAGAGGGTCATGGAGCTGCAGTTGATTGGTGGACGTTTGGAATCTTTCTTTACGAGCTTCTATACGGCAGAACACCGTTTAAAGGCATCAACAATGAGGAAACATTAGCCAATGTGGTGTTGCAGAGCCTAAGGTTCCCGGAAGGTCCAATTGTTAGTTTCCAGGCTAGGGATCTCATCAGAGGGCTGTTGGTAAAGGAGCCGGAGAATCGGTTGGGATCAGAGAAAGGGTCTGGTGAGATTAAGCAACATCCTTTCTTTGAGGGCCTGAATTGGGCCCTAATACGCTGTGCCATCCCACCGGAACTGCCCGAGTTTTGTGATTTTGAAGTTCCAGACATGCCTGCTGCTCAGGAGAATACCAAGTATTTGGAGTTTAAAGCTACGGGAGACCACCTAGAGTTTGAGTTATTTTAGAGGAAAAACCACTTTTTTTAGGAGAAGCTGTCTGCTTGTGTATTATATTACCTCTTGAAAGACCTCCTCCTTTCCGGCTATAACTCATATCTAGCTTTCTGTATATTAGTAGCAGTACATACTCTCTTAAATTGTCAGTAATGGCTGCGCATGTATCATATCAGTTTCAAAAAATTTGTACGACAGCCTCGCATATTATTAGTTATTAGTCTGTTCGGGAATGCCCCATGGCTATACGATTTAATAAAAAATAATAATAATAAAAAAGGACCCTCCTAGTTGCATTAGTTTGTACCTTACAGATCTTAATAGGCAACATATCCAAAGTAGAATTTAATCTTTCACTATATGATATTTTAATATAAGTTTTATAACATATGTTATTTTTATTCAATAATATGTGAGAATTTTTTGTATAAAACGTGAATTTTTTGTCTTACTAAAAAGTTTGTAAAAATTACATTTATAAAACATTAGAAATACGTACATATATAATACGATTATTGTATATTTGCATTTTAAAAGAAAACGTGAGACGTGTATAGAATATGAGTGTATTGTTTAAAAATACGTATATATATGTATGCATACATATGTAAAAGACTATAGCCGATCGTCTATACTATTTATTAATAAAGACAATTTTTAAAATATAAAAGAGAAAAAAAAAAAAAAAAACAGTAACTCTGCCCGGCTGTACAATTTTTTAAAAAAAAAATTAGAAAAAAAACGAGTATAGCCCACCGGCTATACTAAAATCGTATAGCCGTGCGGCTGTAGGTTTTTCAAATACAAAAAAAAGGACCCCCACCCGTTAGACCACACCCATTAGACCCCACGTGCCAACACATGTCTTTTTTGCAACAAAATTAAAAACATGGAGTAGAGCCGTGCGGCTGTACTCCATTATTTCTTTTTAATAATTTATAACATCTACCGATTAAAGCCATGTGTCCAAAATACGTATAGCCGACCGGCTATACCTTTTTTTAATATAAAAAAGAGGATCCCCCATTCATTAACCGCCACATGTCAACGTCTTTTCTAGAAAATAAAAAACGTGGAGTCTAGCCGCCCGACGGTACTCCTTTTTTCCTATCTTTTTATTAAAAAAATAAATAAACAAAGAAGAACCTCTATGGATTGAAGCCATATGTCAAAAAATATGTACAGTCGCCCGGCGATACCTTTTTTAATTAAAAATCGTAGTATAGCCGACCGGCTATACCATTTAATCCAAAAATTAATAATAAAAAAGGACCCTCATAGTTGCATTAGTTTGTACCTTATAGATCTTAATAGGCAACAAATCCAAAGTAGATATTAATCTCCACTATATGATATTTTAATATAAGATTTATAGCATATGTTATTCTTATTCAATAATATGTGACAATTTTTTGTATAATACGTGAATATTTTGTGTCTTACTGAAAAGTTTGTAAAAATTACATTATAAAACATTAGAAATACGTATGTATATGTACAATACGACTATTGTATGTTTGCTTTTTAAAAGAAAACGTGAGATGTGCATAGAACACGACTGTATTGTTTAAAAATACGTATATATATGTATGTATGCATACATATGTAAAAGACTATAGTTGCTCATCTATACTATTTATTAATAAAGAAAATATTTTAAATATAAAAAAAGAAGAAAAAAAAAACAGTAAACCTTCTCGGCCGTACAATTTTAAAAAATCAAATTAGAAAAAATCGAGTATAGCCGCACGGCTAATCTAAAGAAAAAATAGAGCAGTCCTCTGTGTGAAAATAGTATAGCCGTGCGGATGTACTATTTTTAAATATCAAAAAATAGGACGCCCACCCATTAGACCCCACGTGCCAACACATGTCTTTTTTTGCAACAAAATAAAAAAAAACATAGCGTATAGCCGCGCGGCTGTAATCTATTTTTTCCTTTTAAATAATTTAGAACCAAATAGTACAGCCGATCGGCTGGACTATTTTTAAATATCAAAAAATAGGACGCCCACCCATTAGACCCCACGTGCCAACACATGTCTTTTTTTGCAACAAAATAAAAAAATATATATAGCGTATAGCCGCGCGGCTGTAATCTATTTTTTCCTTTTAAATAATTTAGCCATTAGACCCCACGTGCCAACACATGTCTTTTTAGCAACAAAAGTAAAAACATGGCGTATAGCCGTGTGGCGGTACTCCATTTTTTATTTTTTTAATAATTTAGAACCTCTACCGATTAAAGCCAGCCGGCCGGCTATACTGATTTTTAATGTCAAAAAGAGGATCCCCATTCATTAACTGCCACGTGTCAACGTCATTTTTAGAAAATTAGAAATGTGGAGTCTATCTGCCTGGCGATACTCCCCTCCCTTTTTATTAAAAAATAAATAAATAAAGAAGAACCTCTATGGATTGAAGCCACGTGTCAAAAAATACGTACAACCACTCGGCTATACCTTTTTAAATTAAAAAATCGTAGTGTAGCCGACCGGCTATACTATTTAATCCAAAAATTAATAATAAAAAAGGACCCTCCTAGTTGCATTAGTTTGTACCTTATAGATCTTAATAGGCAACATATCCAAAGTAGATATTAATATTCCACTATATGATATTTTAATATAAGTTTTACAACATATGTTATTCTTTTTCAATAATATGCGACAATTTTTTGTGTCTTATTGAAAAGTTTGTAAAAATTACGTGTATAAAACATTAGAAATACGTACGTACATGTATAATACGACTATTATATGTTTGCTTTTTTAAAGAAAACGTGAGACGTGTATAGAACACTAGTGTATTGTTTAAAAATACATATATATATGTATGCACGCATACATATGTAAAAGACTATAGCCGCTCGTCTATACTATTTATTATTAAAGATAATTTTTTAAATATAAAAAAAAAGAAAACAAAGAAAAAACAGTAACGCTGCCCGGCTGTACAATTTTTTTATAAAAAAATTAGTAAAAAATAGAGTATAGCCGCACGGCTATACGATTAAAACCGTGCAGGCCACTTTGTGAAAATAGTATCGCCGTGCGGCTGTCCTATTTTTAAATATATAAAAAAAGGACCCCCACGTGCCAACACATGTCTTTTTTGGAACAGAATTAAAAACGTGAAGTATAGCCGTCCGGCTGTACTCTACTTTTTCTTTTTAAATAATTTAGAACCAAATAGTATAGCCGTTCGGATATACTATTTTTAAATATGAAAAAAAGGACCCCCACCCATTAGACCCCACGTGCCAACACATGTCTTTTTGCAACAAAATTAAAAACATGGAGTATAGCCGGGCGGCTGTACTCCATTTATCTACCGATTAAGGCCACGTGTCCAAAATAAGTATATCCGCCCGGCTATAATGTTTTGTAATATAAAAAAGAGGATCCCCCATTCATTAACCGCCACGTGTCAGCGTCTTTTAAGAAATTAAGAAACGTGGAGTCTAGCCGACCGGCTGTACTTATTTTTTCCTCTCTTTTTGAAAAGTTTGTAAAAATTACATGTATAAAACATTCCCAAGGCCCAAGGCCCATCTTTTTGATTAATTAAATATATTAATTAAACATTATGCATTTAAGAAATGGCCATACCCACAAGTTACTCAATTGGGCCACTTGTATAGTCAATACATTCTATTCTATTTCCGAGAGTAAGTTTTATAAGGACTTCCCAGGATCTCTAGTGTTCCAATGTGGGAGCTCAAACATGTTTGCAATACCTTGTTAAACCATTAGGCATCTAACTAATCACTATTAGTATTATTCATGAACAAATTAACTAGCAAATATACTTCACCAAAAGTCATCTTTAATTTCTAAAAACAGTTCTTTATTTTTAACACAATAAAAAAATATTCTTCTTCCTTTCATTGAAACGTTCTTGTTAAAAGAGTTGTGTATCACTAAAATTAACCCTAAACTTATATATATTGTTCATGAAAGATGCATAAACAAATGAATTAGCTTTCAAAAAATCTGTCTGGAATTAACCCTAAACTTTAATAGCAACGCTAACGCAGGGAGAGGACCTTTTCATGGCTTCTTTTCTCCCACTCATTCCTCTCCAATATCAGATTGTTTCTTTTCATGGCTACGTCGACAAGGTGAGGAGGAAATGCGACTTATTTGTTATAGTTTTTATTGATTCTCCCTCATTATATAAAATAATAATATAAAAACTTTTTTATTAAAATAACTGATTAGTTATGTTAAATATGAGTTTATTGTTAAATTTTAAAAGGATTAACTGATTGGCTATACTCTTTGAATATGTTAATATTTAAATAAATAAACATCTTTTCCATTAGAAATTAAATTTAAAAAAGGAAGAAGAAGCTCCATGAACAAAGTTGTAAACTTCTGTATATTGTCTTATAGACGGAGTGTCGGAAAACCAGAGCATGGCTTCTTCAACTTCAGACGACGACTTCATCACCGTCGTATGCAGTAACCCCAATCCAATTCAAGCAAACACCACCAGCACCGATATAGAGATTCTAATTTCAGTCACGAATATCCCAAGCTGGGATTTGCCATCAATTCTCTGTCACCAAACAGTCAAAGTTCAAGCCCATCGGAACAGGTGCGTGGTGGCTTATCATTTTCTCACTCTTTTTCCGTTTGTTTCCCGGGAAAATACAATGAGGGAGAATCAATTTCCATCTTTGCTTGCAGGCTAATTGAACACTCATCGTATTTCAATGGCCTCCTAAGCGGGAGCTTCAGGTAATCAATTTCGATCACTTTCTTCTTGGGAAACTGAATTCAACGAAGCCCGGAAAGTTGTGCTTTTTTCAATGTAGATTATGATTCTTCGAAGAAATGAACAAGTTTTATTTTTCTTGAATTTGGATAATTTATCATCCCCTACATTTTTATTCTAATCAATTTTGTTTAATTGCTTCTGGCTAAATTGTTGAGAACTTTTTGTAGTGAATCAGGCCTGGACTGTATAGCAGTTGAGTGGAACCTGGAAGAATTTCTACACATTCTCAATTGTATATATGACTGCCCACTGGATGTAACATCTAATAATTTCCTCCCGCTTTATGAGGTAAATGAATTAACTATACTGTATGGTAATTCTGACCCAGTGTGTTCTTTTCTATTCTTCGTTTACTTATTTGTTAACTTCTAGTTCTAGTTTGAACGCATCTGCCTTTAAATCACATAAAATGTTTTACAAAGTTAATATTCCTTTGACAATACTGTGTTACGTTTTCAGGGTGCACTTTATTTTGGAG